TGCAACTCATAATAAGGGCCAATAATTTTGACGTCTTGTGCAAGAAAAAGAAAAATTCAACTGTGTTCGTTTACGCCATTGTATAGGCTTACAAGTATGGAAATCGCCATTTTGTTTGTTAACATTTGAAAACAGCTGAGATCACCTGATTTTCAATCAAGTTTGAGAAAAAACTTTAAAATGTAAATTGAGAAGTATTTTAGAATAATGTGTTTTTATTCTTTTGAATTGTTTAAATAAGAAATTAAAAATGCATGCCAAGTCTTGCATTTCCAATAATAACGATAAATGTGTATGATCCAGGCAATAATTAAAAATATTTGTGAAACTTATCGTTTTGCGCTAAAATACAACAATGTGTGTAAAATTCGTTGTCATTGTTTCTGTTTTGAATGCCATATTCGCGCCTGCTGGTGGAAAAAATAGGTAAATTTGCATTTATCTTTAAGAAAACATATAAATTAAAATATATGTATGTCTTTCCAGAGCGACATACGGACAAGTAAGATGATAAATTTGTATGATGAATATCGCGGAAAATCTTTTGCATCAAAATTTCTATTCTAATTTGCATTCGAATTATGATATCAACAGGGATGCTTTGGAACGTATTTTTTGAAGACAAATTGTTAATAAATCTTGAGACTGTTGATTTATTTTAGAATTAAAAAGCTTATTTATGTTAAAAAATATATTTAGGCTAGCAGCCCGATTCTGTGCACTTGATAAATTGAAAATCTTTATAATTTGTCAACTTTTTATTATTTAACAAGAATTGGTATTCTAGCACAGAAATCGAAAGCTCTTTTCTTGATAAGTTATCAAGATTGAAAATGCTATTGACAAATTGAAATTTCATGTGAAATGTATAACTTTGTATATTAATAAATTTGTTTCTAACAATTAAATACTCCATGTGCCGGCATTTGAACCTGCGACACACGGAATTATAGTCGACATCTCTACCTACTCGGCTACGGCAGTCAAAAGTTTTTTTGCTTTTAATTTCATATTTTTCATATTTGACAATGAAATCAGTTCCACTCATGTGGAAATCAGTTCCACTAACGTGGAAATCGTAGAGCTTTTTGTTTTATAAATATTGACACAGAATGCGAAGGAAGCTTTTACTTAATAAAACCCTTGATAAAATTTCTTTAAAAAAAATTTATCAGGAAAACACAGAATTGGGCGGTTAACATTTTTTTTATAAATGTGTAGCTCAATATACATATCGCACACCGTCTTCAAAAGAGTCACA